CCCTAAAAGTCGCGCTTTTATTTCTCCTTCGACGAGTAACAGATGTCGACACGGCAACTTTAAGCTAGTCGAGGAAGTCGCACCGAGTCGTCCAGGAAATTATTAATCTTCCTTACTCCGTTCTCGGAAGAAAGAAGGGCGACACAATGCAGGGGGGGCCGGTTGGTTTTCGAACAAAAGATATTTTTCTTCCGTCCAATTGTCTCTGCCTTGGCTCGGTTTCCGCTTCTACCCCCCTTCGACCGGTCCGGATTTTTTAATCGCGCACCCCAGCACTTCTCGAAAGCGCGAACGAAACGGGATAGGCCGTGTTCCTTTCAGTGACATCTGGTTCTCCCTGCATCCTGAACCCCCTCCATCGTGCGAGTGGTATACCAGCTAAAGCCTTATTCACGGTCACCGTCCTAGAAACCCGAAACGATCAAAACAACTTTTTCATGCGGGGTCCTCTCGAGGATGCTGGATTATCCTTTTTCGGATGCCTCGACCTCGTGTTACCGGGGTGGCACCCCTACCCCCTCCTCGCCCCCCGTTCACCCTATACCGTTTGCGTAAAGCCATGGCGAAATTCAACCACCGACTGACCTGGATTCCCCGTTATTCTATGCCTCTTAGCCGAGTGCTACAATATTTACACGGATTCCATCCAAACAGCCGGGATTCATTGTCACGAACGAATCGAATTCGCCTTCGATGTCGTGCGAACGTGCTCCGCGAGAACGAACGCGCGTCGTACGTCCGCCGTTTTGAGGTTACGTTTTATTTATCGCCGCGACCGGCGACTGCTCGTCACGCGAGAAGCAGTTACGTATCGGTCCATCTTCCCCGGACACGCCTACGGTATGTTTAAACAAAAAGCCGTGCCGGAAAAAGCGATTTTTTCTACCTACGCCGATGTTTACCTCGAGCGGTTAAGCGAACGTGTTTCGCGGCCATTTTAAAAGCCCACGCGCGCGTATATCTTCGCGTAGGTGATCGGTGATTTATCAAAGGAATCGCATTGCGCTTTTTACGCTCTAAATTACTCTCAGTGCCGGGAGGAATAAAAAATAAATAGCCGGGCCTCGTGCGCACGTATCACGGTAGCACGGGGCTGGAATTAAAGATGGTTTGACGTTATTTTGATCAACGCGCGTTATTTATGGCTCACGTCGTTAGAGAATTGGGAGTCTCACGTTTCGTAACAGCTTTACGATCGCCGATAAAATTATGCAACGTAATCTAATACGTATCTCGTTTCGCTGGTGTCCCAGGAGCCAGCTCGCCGCCGCGTGCTTTTCGCTCGCACGAGCACACGCGAGCTGACAGCCGGGCAAAATCGACTCTTTGTTATTGCGTTCCCGATGGCGGATGTGTTCCTCTCTCGTCGTGACGTCGCGATGCCCCGTGGGAATGGTCGAAAAATTACGGCGTAGCTCGCAAGAACCGATATCCCGTCGATCGGCTCGACGATCATAGATCGGGGTCACGCTTTGCCGATCCGAGGTAATATTTAATATCGATACCGGCCACTATCGTCGTCCGAGACCGCGATCTTACGCGGGCACCGCGACACATACGCGCGTGTACACGCGTATCGTGTACGTGTGCGCGTAGGTGTCGATAATCGCGCGCAATATGCGTGCACACGCAAACACGTGCACGGGGTGATAAAAATCCGCAGCCGTTGGCATTCCCGATAACCGTGCCTCTCCTCCTTCCAACTCTTCTTTTTATTTCTCGCCTGTGACCAATATACTTTTTTGTAGGAGGCTGCGACGTCGTCGCTAAAGGGGGATGGGCAGAAAGTTCGGTAACCACGTAAAAAAGCATGCCCGCGTTCCACGCCGAGCTTCTCCTACGGTTTATTTTCGTAGCAATGATTCCTTATTTCGCGCACCGCCGACAGAAATCTCTGCCATTAATGACCTTCGCCGCAGATAAGCAGAGCGCACGCGATAAGAGAGGCAAGCGCAGCACACTTGCCTGTTATATATCTGCGCGTTGTTTGTGCAATTCGCTTGTCAAGAATTTCGATAACCGGTGCGAAAGGGGTCGGGGGAGAGCGGAGAAGTGAATCGCGAGCAACGAAACGGATACGGGGGCTTGGATTTATTTATCAATAAACGCATTCACGATATTTTTAGATCGCCACTGGAACGAAGTAAACATAATGTTGTTTTCGTGCCGGTCGAGAGATGGCTTCGACGAGCTCTCGTCGTTCGTTACTAACCTCAAAGCGATTTCTCTCGTTACGCGTAATCAGCGTAGCTTCAGGGGCCTCCGAAACGGCTGCAAAAAATACAAGCTTCGAGGCAGGCATTCGCGTCATCCACGTCCAGAATAGTGCATCGATTCCACGATAAATTTCCTCGAGTGGCTGGATGTTTCTTGAACAGTCTAGATGACTGCGACTCGGGAACCGATGCTGGAAACAAAAATAAAAATCAGATACGTTGCGAGATCGGAATGACCGCGACCTTGGTTAAATTTAAAGATGGCGAAATTAACCTCAAAGCGTGCAACGTATTACGGACGAGACGCCGTTCGCGAGATGCTTATCGTTCTCGAGAACGAATAAACGCGCATGCGTAAACGAGAACGCGAAAAAGAGACACGATGGCGTCACGAAACGACATCACGCTCGATGTATGTCCGAAATTTACGTCCAACACTATCAACGTGCACGAACACCGCACTGCGTTGTGAAAACACGGGGTCTCCGGCATAGCACACGGGTCAGGCTCGTGACGCAAAAAGAACGGCGTCCGTTCTCTCTAGAATTTCGTCGTAATATACCCAAGGGCCAGCGGCGTAAATATTTACACCTCGCGAAACATATAGAGCCGTGTTTCATACCGGTGATCCCTCGAAGCAAAAGTACACACGACAGAAGTTACATTCGGGAAAAACAGACTGTAGCAAGCGTGGCTGTACACACTGTCACCGAAGCCGGCGTATTTACTGACCGCGAGAACACGCGATGTATAACGGTTCGAGGAAGATCCACGTACAATTTTTCGAACGTTTTCCGTCTTTCGCTGGTCGAAAAGTTTGTAGAAATACGAATACTCGGATATCTTTGCAGCTACTAGTATATGCACCAAACACATCAGCTTATCGTCTACACGCCGGTCTACGTGTCTTGAGCCACTGCTAATTAGAATGTACATACGTGGAATCGAGCACGTACTGTTACGACGCAGGCTAGCACGACAAAGAGATAGAGAAACTCGCGAAAACTTTCAACGGCATACCGCGCGACGTATTCCAATACTCGAAGGTATTTCGACGAAAGGTAACCGGATCGAGATGTTTCTACGCGTGATCGGGTCGATAGGAAACGTCGAGACATAAAAGAGGTTGGAATTCGGCACCATTCCCGTACACTCCGATCCACGAACGCCATTTTTCACCGCGTCATTTCGACGCGACTATGGCCACCTTCACCCGATTATACATCGAACCTATTATCTCTTCGCGACGAGATTCCGATTCGATGGAAGCGAATTTTCAATTTAGAGAGCATTATCTCGTTAGAATTTCTGGGTAAGTTGGAGAGATACGTCGAATCGTCGTGGTATCGTACACACGTACGCCACCGTACGTGCGCCAGTGTATGTACTCGCACACGCGTATCGAGGATTATTCGCAGGCCTCCTCGCCGGCTTCGAAAAGTAAAACGCGCGCTCGTGTATGCAGCGCCGGCTATGAGCGCGAGCTGGACAGACGTAGAAGCGAGAGAAGGAAGGAAACATAGAGAGGTAGCGTGCGCCCGTCGGAGGGACGACAACGGCGCGCATCGATTGGCGCGCTAGCCGTGACCCCCACCATGCTGCTTTCGCTTTCACCCAATGGGGCCTCACTTTCGCGCTCGCCCGCGCGCCGAGCCACGGCAGCCGGCACGCTGTCGTCGCCGGCGCTCAGTGACTGGTGCACCCTACGTGCGAGCAAGTGTTTTTCGTCGTGGACTCTCCGTGTGGCACGAGAGAAAAAGGAAAGAGAAGGAAGCGGAGCCTCGGTGTGCGTATGGCTTGGATCTTCATCGTCGTCGTCGTCTCTTTCGTTTGAGTCGTGCACGAGCGAACCGGGGAACGCGTCACGGGACTTCGATCGAAAATTGCGTTCCACGCTGCGCGCGCTCTGCGCCGGTGACCCTGACATTCGACGAACGAGAGCGGCCCAACAACACATTTGTTCGTCCGTGCCGGTCAGATAAACATCGTCGTGTACGAAATCGTCGTTCGACACCGAGTATTCGCGAGGCCTTCGTCCGTTATATTACACATTTCCGTGCGCGAACTCGTGTCGCCCCGGGGAACGAACCGTCGAGAGACTTTACCGAAACTACCGCGACGTGGCGTCGCGGAACCACGTTGACCTTGACTTTGATACACAAAACATACCGACCGACGCCACTACCAAAAGAGAGAAGGGAAAAGCAGGATCCTTTCGAAAGCGAGTCACGGTCACATTGTTCGTAGTGGTACATATCCAACTTCTCGCGGTCGTGCTCGGAGTGTCGTATTATTATTATTTTTTTTTTTTCTTCGCGTTTGCCGTGTCGAGAAACGAAGGAACATCGGCCGAATGACACTCTGTTCGGGCGTTTCGTCGAAAATTGCCGTTTGACGCAGCGCGCGGTATTCTCGTCGGCGCCCGCCTTTTTTCTCCCAGTACCAAATACATCCGCTGTGTGTCTCTGCGATTAACTGCGCGCCATTCGGCGAAACATCGAAGTCAGAATCGTTGAATGGATGTGCGTGTGACGACGCAACCGAGACGCGGGAATTGCGTGAAGATGAAAGAATAGATCGGAATAAAGGCACGTGCGAAGAAGAAACAGGAAGAGAGAAGAGCTCGTGGTGCAACGAAAAATCATTTGGCGATCGGTGGTGGTCGAACGGCGTCGTCGTCGTGGTCGTCGCCGTCGTCGTCGTCGTCGTCGAGACAGCTGTGTATCCCTCAACCGATTCCCCCGAGTCGTTTACCGGTAGGAGAAAAATCATCGGAGTGTGGTCCACGGTGAACGAATTCTACGGAAGGGGGCGCAGCGTGAGGGCGGGTTTAACACCGATCCGCGAGGAGGAAGTGATGGCACCGCGGCGTCACGCGAACGGCCACGCTGGTGTACTGATGGAAAACGGCGGTGGAGGAGCCGGTGGCGGAGGTATAAACGACATGATGGAGAACAACCTGCTAACACAGAATCAGACGACCCGTTGCTGCACGCCTACCGGTGAATGCCTACGGGGTGATACTTTGATTCGCTTGAATACTCTACACGACACGGTGAAGGTGACGTGCAACAACGACAATTGCCCGGTCGGTCAGTTCATGCATCGCGAGTGCTTCGACGCCTGGGAACAGACGGTGCTGACTTATCTGAAGAGTTGCGGACGCGCCCGTAGCTGGTCCGAGCGGCAGCGCCATCAGAACCTATGGACGAAAAAGGGTTACGATCTGGCGTTTAAAGCGTGCGGCTGTCGCTGCGGTCGCGGACACCTGAAGAAAGATCTGGACTGGATGCCACCGGGGGCGGGGAACGCGACCGGTAACCGACAGGACGAGAACGAGGCGAAGAAAAAGAAACGACGCAATCGTCAGAATACGAGGCCTACGTTGGCCGTTTCGGCCGGACCTCCGAGCCACGGCAATCACGTTTCGACCAACGGTCGCGGTACCACCGAGGCGCAGTTGATCGAATCCGGTCGTGGAAGGGCTGGTTCGCTCTCGTCCAGCACCGGTTCCAGCTCACCACCGGCCACCAGCGAGCCCAGCGTTAGCCCTCTTCATCAGCCGCAGGTCATCATGAAGAAGAAGAGCAAGGTTGATTTCTTCAGCGATCGAGCTCGGTGAGTCTTACTCGCTTTTATTTTCCATTTCTCTCTTCACATACTTATTTCCCGACTCGTGATACTTATCCTTACGAATCGATGGGGAAACGTCGTTAATTTTCGAGGTTATGTCGTGTTATTACGCGTTCGCCGATCGTACCCGAGATTCGTTCTGGTACGTTCCAACGCGTTGTTAGACACTATCGCGGCGGAAACTTAATTTTTCGGGACAAGTATGGCCGTGTAGAACCCACTGCGTGCAATTGAACGAATTACGTGGCAGAAAGCGCAGCGAAGTTTCCCGAATTCGCGGTACCGGATGGAAATAGAGGGGGGAAAAGGCAGCGGGCTCGTTACAAACGATAATTGGCCTGCTGGCAGTCACGATACCGATGGCTCCTTGTGAGGTCCATCGGGCAACGTGTAAGAATACAATTATCGCGATCCCTTATCAAAGCGGTCACGTTTCTCTCCCACGCAAGCTCTTCTTGGCCTCGCCGGTTTGCTTTCAGCGACGTCGATAAAGGAGAAACGTTTCTTTCGAATCGCAGACTTACCTTTAAGATTGTCGCGCCCCATTCTCCTCGCGCCGGTTTCATCCCACGCCGTTAATGGTCCGATTCAATTGGCGAGATAGTTTCGATGGAACCATCTGCAAAGAAACTTTTCTCGCTATTTAGAAGCTGCTCTGTCGTATCTCTCAAAGAGGGGGTATATAGCATGATGCTGACCTTGAGACACATTTCGCCACTTGTAGTTTACCGGCACAGGTCGAATCGAAATACCTGTGCGCGCGTATCTACGCGGTAACTTTGCGTCGTGATTTTTAAAACTAGCACAAGGTGTACGACCTAATCGTTTCGCTTTAAAACGGTCGATTCGCATAACGCTGAACTCAGCCATGGCTTAAATGACCGTTTTCGAAATTCTCCATCGAGAATTCCATATTTGACGTTATCGTCTCCGCGATTTTCCATTTTCCCAGGATTCCGTCAAGATCGTTTCCGTGGTATGTTAATCGCGTACCGGCAAACGCAGAGTACCTTACGTAATTAGCCGTTGCACAATTAAACGCGGTTAATTCACGACCGGTTGCACCGTTATATCTTGGAATCTTGGTAAACTTTCGGGATGGCGTTGGCTTCGAGCGCCAGTGGCATAACCCCGTAAAGTCGGCGCAGACCACTATATCTTGTCTGGAAGAAGACAAAGATGATAAACGCGCGGGGCTAAGGCCGGGTGGGGATTTCGAAGGATTTTCGATATAGAGCTTCCGTCACGCCCTCGAAAGCGTCATGTTAAAGTTCAGCATCGAGGGGGGCTGCTCGGTCGGGGGAGAAGGATACAGAGCGTATTCCAGGGGGTTAAAGCGAACGAACGCGTATTCCGTATGGAAAGCACACGCTTCCGTTCCTTCTTTTATAGCGCGATTTCGAAGCTCGTATAAAAAAGAAGGCGGCCGGGAATATTTTCATTTCTTGGGCGGCGAAGTTGTTTCGCGTTTGCGGCGAATATATATACGACGGCTATAAATAATCGCGGTGGAGAGAGACGGAGAAAGCGTGGTCGCGTAGGGCAGAGAGAGAAGAAGAGAGAGAGCGGTGTTTCGCGAAATACTTGGGTGTGGAAGGAGAGGAGAGCAGCGAGAGAGAGCCGCCCCACGGGCCAGATGGTGGCCAAATGACGGAAAAAGCCGGTCTCCGTCGTACTCGAGGAACCGGAGAAAAAGGAGAACGCGCGAGGCCCCCGGAATCTTGGCGTGGAGAACGCGAGGAAGGGTGTCGGATCGAGAAATACAAGGCGTATCGGCGGCGTAACGTTTTCGGCACGGCGTCCGCTCGAGCGTGTACAAACACCGGCGGCGGCTCCTCTCGAACACGCGCGACATACTCGACCACGCAGAAGTTCACGGATGAATTGCGCCGGTAATTCGATCGTCGCTCGCATCTTTCAAAGGACCGACCGAAGATCTAAATCGTAGATAGCCGACACTCCCCGCTTCCAGGCTCTTTTTTCCCGCGCGTACCTCGTGTCCTTTGTAGCTGCCGGTTTTCAAAGTATCCGAAAACGCGCGACGTCCCGATCGCGGCCCCCTTTTATCCGCGCGAGCCTTCTTCGATATCCATCGGGTGGTGTCCGTTTGGGTATAGGAATACGGTTGAAAGCTTAGGGTATCAAACAGGCCGCCATATTCGCGTCGACGGAACGAAGCCGCGAGTCTCGGTGAGCTCGTGCAATCCTATACGTTCGTACCGAAGAGAAAGAAGAGTAAAAGAGGGTGTGGAAAGGTGGAGGAAGAGAAGAATCGATCGGGAAAGTCTCGGAAGCACGGTTTCCGCGGGATATGGGAACGCGGACGGTGTAGGTCGCGCGGTTATAGCTCAGAGGAAGACGAAGGGTGGCGAACACGAGGATTACGAGGATGCCCCACCCATAGTACGCACACCGGGTGTATTCTATATTTAGATCCAGTCTTGGAACCTGTCCTATTTCTGTTGATTTTCCACCGGGTTCGATGAGCAGCCCCTGCTGAAATCTCCCCTCGTTGCGAGCACACTGTGCGTGCGTTGTCAGCCGCGTACTCGATCTTTTATTTCCGACCTCGTCGAATCTCGTCAACTCTGGGGAGCGGTGGTGATGGTTTCGCGAGTTCCTATTCGGCACTGCAATAGCGGTCCCCGATGAGCGCGCGAGGCGTTTAATATTTCCGCGCGTATTTCTCCGTTCTTCGCGATGTCATCTTCGCGCCGTAGAGACGAGGCGATTGCAACGGTTCATGGTTACAGGCTTCTTCCCCCCTTTATCTCCGCGATGCAAATTATTTATTCTCCCCGTTATCGCCGTGGTGGAATCTTGCTGCGGTTACGGCTCCGTCTCAGGGTGGGTGATGTTCGCGCGCGGAGAAGTCAGAAATTCGTGCATCGTTGGATCCCAAACGCCCCCCATCCCTTTATCGCGATCGAACGACCAAGTACCGCGCGGGGGGCACGAGGGACTGGAAGGTTTTCGTTTCGAATGCGCCGATGCGAATCGCGCCGATGCGAATCGCGCCGGCAGATATTTCGCAGGCCGTGGTTCACGTGCACTGAAATGCACCGAAATGCACCGGCGGCCGAGTTTAGGCTCCTTCTCTCTCTCTCTCTCTCTCTCCTTTTCTCCCCTTGGCGCTGTTCTGTCCCTCGACACGCGCGCGTGTGAGGTGGAAGTACGTGTACGTGCACGCGTGGAACAAGCGCCAGGAGTCGGTGTTGGTCGCGATTGGATAAAGCGGCGAGGATGGCCGCGCGGAGCGGCGAAGAAAGAACGGGAAAGGAGAAGAAAGAGAGAGGAGGGTGCCTCGTAGCCTTGACCGTGGCCACCTCCTCAGGGCCAGCGAGCGAAGAGAGGAGCTTGACGCTCTAGCAGCCTCCAAGGCCAACTGCATGGAATCACGCCACCACGATGTATTTAAACGGGCCGAACGCCGGGAATGTTGTTAAAAAGTCCTCCGCAGCCTTCTCCTCCTCTCTCTCTTTCTCTCTCTCTCTCTCTTTTGCGCGCATCCTCGTAAAAAGACCACCGCGAGCTTAGTCCCCTGGAACTCTCTCTATCCCTCGGTCCGCCGCTTTCCATCTTGCGTGGAACTTTCGCGAGTTCGTCGCGACTCGGTCAAAATCCTTTGGCAAATATCGCCCCGGGTTTCTTCTCCCTGAGAAATCTCTGGATCATTTTTTCCACGCGAGTTATTCCTCGGATATAACGTTCGATGGGTCTAAGTCTCGAATTTTATTACCGATCTCGTGTGCGGTTCGGAGGAAACCGATAGGTCGAAGAAGAAGAGGGTGCATATGCCGGTGCTGGGTGATATTTCGCCGACATTTTGCCGGGAAGCGCGATTCGAATTTATGCCGGTCGTGATTCTTCTTTCATCCAGACCGCGCCGTGATCACCCTCGCGTTACGCCTCGCGTATAGAGACATTTCGGCGCCGCAACGCGACCTATAAATCCCGCTTTCGCCCAAGTGCGACGAGCCAAGGGGTCTCTTCCACCCCCGCCGCGCGTTACTCGCGTTTTAAGCAAAAATAAATAACGACGAAGAGCGTGGTGGCGGCTGTATTCCGCAGCCGTTCCACTGATCGCGATCTCTCTCTCTCTCTCCCCCCCCGATTCGTTCCGTCTATGCGTGCGTCGCCCGTTCCACGTTTGTATCGAATTATTCGCGCGAGGGGTGGAAAGTCCTTGTTTCGTTCGCGTTTTACGATCTCATTAGGCCGTGCACGAGACAGAGCAGGCATATATACGTACGTAGGTACGCGTATCCAGGCAGAACTTCGATGCTTTACCGCCTACGAATTATCGCTTCGAGGGATCGGCCACGGAGCCTCGCGAGAGGTTCAAAGGGACCTGGCGAACGAGTGGTGGGTCGATGGGGGAAGCGTGTGACGGCAAATAAGGGATGCACGGGCTAATGGGAACGAATCTTCGACCTGGCAATCGCGTCGCTTCACCCCCCAGCGGTAATTAAAAATCGTGGTCGACAGGGGGGGCGACTCTGGTCGAGAACGACTGGCCTTTGGGTATAGATTTATGGCGCGATTCGATCGATCCGGTACCCCGTTGTATAACGGATTTCGAGATCCTGGAAGGTAGAGAAAGATTTAGATATGCCGAAGCACCACCCCGCGAGAAGGGGGCTCCAGGGTACCTGGGCAGAGAGGGGATGGCACTCGGGCGGGAAGAATTATTGAATTTCCGGCGAAGCGGTGAAATTCCGTGCGCGTTTGCCAGTTTAATTCGGAGTTGAGGGACAATATCGTTCACGGCGGAGGGGACCGTTTTCGGCGGAATTTCTGAAATTCTTTCGAACATTTCGTTTACTCGACGGGAAAACACGACAGTCGAAGCCGGAACCCGGAGAGGAATTCTCGCGTAACATTGTCGGCCGGGGCACCTGCGAATTCCTGCTTTCGCGATCTAAAGTTGCACGGTTCCTCGAGATGGACGCGTGCGTGTAGGCTTACCGGATAACGATAACGTG